GTACAGTTTTCCTAACCACTACCAACAAGTCAAACATAATTGTATCATATTGTCCAATAACCAAACCCATCAAATACTAACCTTTGCACTTGTTCCAATTGCTGAGTTTATATCATCCAATGGAATGCCTTTCATGCATACATCGGTGAACTTGTGCTTGCACATCCTCGGACAGTCTTTCTCTGCAGGTACGGCTTCTCGAAATTTGCGGCCAAGGCTAGGAATACACTCAAAAGCAAGTATCTACACAAAAAGTCAAAAAATTAAACCCTAAATTATGTAAATAAATTAACTTCTATAAATTATTGAATGAGAATTACCTGTAGAGGAAGAATGAAACCAGACAAGGAACATTCTGCTTTTTTGTCTTTCATGCTGCCATTAAACTTTGCCATCACACGCCAAATCTCCTTCATCATGTCATCGAATATGTAACGCCCCCAAGGGAATGATTTACACATTCAAATCACTGACAACTCTGAGCAAGAACGGATCAATTTTACCATCAGTCTTGTATTTCGCCTTCACTACCTTGCATAAAAACTAGAGGAGGGCCATTTTCTTTCTGTCCACAGAGGTATCCTTCATTTCATTTAATTTTTCTTCCACCTCCACAATCTTGATTTTATCCGCCCTACCAAAGTGCTTCTGAACAAACTTTGTGTTCCCCAAATTGTTGTAGTCAGCCGGTTAATCACGACAGTCAAGTCCACTCAAAAGCGCATGCTCTCCCAGAGAATACCTTATTGAAACTCCGTTAACAATAAACCAGCACTCACTAAGCCTATCAGTATGAGCAGTGTGAAGGAGAAGCATCCACAACCCTTGATTCATGTGGTTGGGCTCCTTAAACATGTGAAAAATGTGCTTAAATTGAGGATGCGCTCTGAACCATGCTTTCTCCTCATCAAGCTTATCAATCTTGTCCACAACAGCTCTAACTGAGCACCTTGTCAATATCTTACAACCCTGGCTGTACTCGGTTGGACCAAAGTAAAGCTTCTCAGGCACCATCGGTTGACTACCATCATTGGCATCCTGAGATAAAAACAAGAAACACAATCATATGAGATTTAGTTGTCCCAGTTATCCCAGTTGTCCCAGTTGTCCAAATGCCAAACATAATTTCGTGCAAATAGTTATCCTAGTTGTCCTAGTTGTCCAACTACCAAACATAATTTCATCATAACACAGTTATCCCAGTTGTCCCAGTTGTCCAAATGCCAAACATAATTTCGTGAAAATAGTTATCCTAGTTGTCCTAGTTGTCCAATGACCAAACATAATTTCATCAGACACAGTTATCTCAGTTGTCCAAATGCCAAACGTAATTTCGTGCAAATAGTTATCCTAGTTGTCCTAGTTGTCCAAATGCCAAACGTAATTTCATCAGACACAGTTATCTCAGTTGTCCCTGTTGTCCAAATGCCAAACATAATTTCATCAGACACAGTTATCCTAGTTGTCCCAGTTGTCCAAATGCCAAACATAATTTCGTTCAAATAGTTATCCTAGTTGTCCTAGTTGTCCAACGACCAAACATAATTTCGTTTAGAGTATACTTACCTCTAAATCTTCATCTGCCTCTTCGCCATCCTCTTCTTCTGCTGCATTTTCTTCCACTTCATTTCCTTCCTCTCCTTCTCCCTCGTCGTCTTTCTCGGGTGTCCCCCCTCCCTCTTCGTCTGCTTTTTTCTCGGATTCCTGTTCTCCACTATCTTTCTTGGATTGCTCATCCTCGACTTCCTCTTCTCCTGTTTCCTTCTCGGATTCCTCTTCCTCGAATTATTTCTCTGATTTCTCTTCCTCGCCTTCTCTTCCTTAAGCCTCATCCTCAGATACATCTCCCTCGCCTTCTTTCTGGGATTCTACCACACCCTCTTCCTCGGCTACTGTATCCGCCAAAACCTCTTTTTCAGGTTCTTCACGAGATTCCAACCGCTCCTCTGGTTGATCCGTCGCACCCTCGTCCATGGGTGTTGGTGCGGTTTCAAGGGCTTCTTTGGTGGTTTCCGTATCGGCTGGGTCTGCTTCCATCAATGATTCTTCTTCTCCCCGAGTTTTTTCATGGGTTGTTTCTTCATCATTCGCCGGAGGGTTTGGTGTTATTCTGGGGTCTTTATCTTCCATATCTGCTTCTTCGCTGCGCTTGGGTACAGATTCGTTCGAATCATATACCACGCCCTTTAGTCGAATTTTAGCCATGGAGTTAGGGTGGATTTAGGGTTTGTCTTAATGAAGTTAGAAGGCTAAATTATGTAATAAATAGTACGGGAAGTTGAAGAAGGGGAAGTTGAAGAACGAGCAGTTTCAAAATCAAGTGTCGTTTCAAGGGGGAAGTTGCAGAATTTTCGGAAGAGAGATGGAAGTGGAGATAGCCGTTCGGGGAAGATGAAGAGAGAAAGAGGAGAAATCGATATTTGATTTTCGGTTTTAAGTTTATCAAATGTGTTTGGTTTTGAAAATCAAATCCGCTCGGTTCGGTTTCGTTTACCCAATTTTCGGTTTAACAATTTCAATTTTCTATTTCTGATTTCAAATTGATTAAGTTTTTATTTGGAAAGAAATTCCATTTTTTCGGGTATTCGGGTGGGGCATAAAACGGATGGATTTTACCCTGGTATTTTCGTTATTATGGAGATATATGAGGACAAGGGTATAATTTCCAGGATTTAAGTTAATAAAATTAATTCAAAAATAAATTAATTTTTACACACATGGCTTTTCAGCCAACTTTTTCGCGTCTGATGGCTTTTCAGCCACGCACTCCGAAGAAGACGAAAATTTTTAATTTTAATCAACGGCGTAGTTAATATAGATATATTTAATAGAAAGACTAACTATTAATAATTTTATCTAGTGTAGTGGTTTCCGGGGCCTCTCTTTAAAAGAGGTGCACAGATCGATTCTTATACCTGTATTATTTTTTATTTTTTCGTACAATACCATAATTCCAACGTGATTCCAGCTGTCAGCTGATTCAGCACTGTTATCAATTTGACAGAGTTGATTAACGGAAAATAAGTCAATTTATTTTTTGGCTCCAAAAACAAATTCAAGAATGAATATTTGAATTTTCAGAAGTTTAGGTATGTTTAAGCACATAAAATTATACAGATATTAATCGGTACCATTTCATACAGTTGAGACATGAATAAGCCGTTTTATTTTGGGTTTTCCGTTTGATTTAACAAATACAACAAATCGGTTTACTCTGAGACTTTACTAAACTAAATATACCAGGGAGTTTCTTTCTGATAGGAAGAAAAATCAGATTCCGAAGAATATGTTTTGAGTATATGTTAATTCACATTTTGTTATTAATTTATTTTACAATTAGGAATTAACCTGTGCTACATTGCTGGGAAATTATTTTATTTTAAATGATATTTTCTAAAAAAAATTATAAATGTTATATAATTATAGTATATTAAGTCTTTATAGAATAAAAATATGATTTATAAAATTTATTTTTAAAAAATTAATTGTTAATAAATTGTTATTAGTTTATTACATGAATTTGAAAGTAAAATAATATTTTTATATTTTTATATTTATTTCTATGAATGTGTTTTTTTTATAAAAAATAAAAAGCTATGTAAATAAATATTTCAGGTTTTGTTAACATCTTATAAAATGGTGGTGAGACCTTAAAAATCATGTGTTCAGTATTTGTTGGTAAAAATTCACCAAATGAACTTTTATTTTTATATATATTCAAATAAAACATAATAAATTGTAGTAAAAATACTGCAAGATGTAGAATATAGTTTTTAAAAATATATCTATGAATTGTTTATTATTTAAAAAATATATTTATTTTAATATAATAACTAAGAAACTAAATAATAAATCATCTCCTAATTGGAAAACACATATTTGATTTAATAATTTTAAAAGATAATTATGTCATTTCTTATTTCAGTTATCTCTTTGTAATTGTAATGACATACTATATTATATCTTACAAAAATAATGTTCATTTATTAAAATGCCTACTTTCAAACGCATTATTGTAGCATGAAAACGAGATGATCACCTAAACATGTTAAGTTTGACATAACAATACAATACTGATAAAAAATTTTAAACTTTATTAATATAAATTATTAAAATGGTGGGGTTAAGATGCTGAAATTTATTAAATGTCAGAGATTAAAAATTGAATGAGTGTTGAATTATTAGGTGGAAGAGAGAGATGATGATGTGGAGTGTTAAACAAAAAAAGTAAGATGTTGAATATTGAAACTAATATATATAATCTAATATTAAAGTAGCTCTTTCGTTGGTGGCTTAACATGTCTTTTTATTGTGTCTGGCTTAACATGCATGTATTCGTCATTGTGAAGAACACAGTAAACAAATTTGGTTTCTAACTACTCTAGTTTCAAGATAATAATCTTGAAAAATAATAAGAAAATTTAATTCATAAATTAATTTAGGTCTGCATTGTACAATGAAGCAAGCAGCATTACTTCTTGTCTTCTGCTTTTCTCGGCTGTAAAGAAAAACAAAACCGTATAAAGGTAAACTTGGAAATTAAGCTGATGTTTTAGACATGTATTTGTTCCAAGTTTTCACCTTTTTCTATAGATTCAATGGGGAAAATGAAATGTGTAATGAGACAGACCTTGACACCAGGAGCCTCGTGCTGGATTTCTTCTTCAGGGATGATCACAGGCCATTGCTCTTCCAGAGAATTTGGGGTTTTCCGGTTCAGGTTTATAACGAAAACCAAAATACAAACCGATCGGTTCGGTTTAAGACGAGACTAAACCTAACCGATTCCTCCTTCTTCTTCCTCAGTCCTCACCCGACTCGACTTCTCTCTTCTCTCTTCCTCTCGTGTTTGATTTCGGCCAAGAAGCTCAAGAGGTCAAAATCAACAATTGGAAATTACATTCCTTTCTCTCTGAAGTGAAATCGAGGTAATAATAATGAGTAGGAATGGTCGTATAGATTCACCAGGGAATGTGATTCGAGAAAAGAAAAATTCAGATTCTGCAGAAAGGTTTCATCTTTATTCAGCTAATCGGAAATTAGATCTTTTTGTATAAAACCCAATTAGTTAAATTTTAGACTCGTTCATTAGCAAAGCTCGAAGATGATCAATTTCTGGGTTTTTTTTTTTATTATTATTTCAGTGATGGATTGGTACTCAAGTGCAGAGCTTCCCATAGGATTACGTGGGCTAACTCTTAGATTAGGATCAAAATTTGATGTCTCTCTGTGTGTCTTTGTTTGTTTGTCCAGATGGTTTCCTTTGGTTATTTTGCCAGGGTCGCAAAAAGGAAGGTAAAACCAAAGTTTCGTCGTCGACGATCGGTTCGGGTTTGTAAAGATATGAGCAGAATCAGTGAGTTGTCTGACGAATTGCTGATCACGATACTATCGTTTCTTCCAACCAAAGTTTCTGTCTCCACTAGCATCTTGTCCAAACAGTGGAAGTTTCTTTGGATGTGGTTGCCTAATCTTGAGTACAGTAGTAGCTATCATCGAGAGTCTGCAGCACTTGGGGAATTTATTGACAAGAATCTGCCATTACATAGAGCTCCGGTCATAGAAAGCTTGCGTCTCGACTTCAATTTTGGGAATCCACATGTTGGACCTGAAAATATCAAAAGGTGGGTTGAGATTTCGGTTTCTCGCAATGTACGTGAGCTGGAAGTTTCTTATGATTCGGAGAGCGAAAACATATTCCCGGGCAGCTTCTACACCTGCGCATCGCTCGTGATTTTGAAACTCGAAGACGTGACTCTCATGGATGTTCCCTCAACGGGTTGTCCTCACTCTCTCAAAACCTTGAAGCTTCAATGTCTTGAATACGCTAATCTTCAACGACTTCTATCTATATGTCCTGTTCTTGAAGAACTATCGGTACATTTTGAATGTCGACGCCATAATATGGGAGGGTTCACTATCATTGTCCCGTCCTTACAGAGCTTGTCACTCTCTGTAGCTGATTATTGGAAATTTGATGGGTATGTGATAGATACTCCTTCTTTGAAGTATTTGAAACTTGAGGATTGGAATGGTATGATACACTACATTGAGATTGAGGATATGCCTAATTTGAAGGAATCATATGTTGATGTTCCGTGCTATGATCTCAAGAGTCTTATAGGATCAATCAAGTCGGTCAAGCGTCTCACAATATGTTCAGAGGTAATCATTTCTCGTTTATCAATTGCAGCAAAAAGTCTTCAATCTCATTTGTGGAATCCTCTGTTTAATCATTCTCTTAATATCGTGGGGCAGGATGATTTGTCTGGTGATGGTTTTGGTTTCAACCAGCTTGAACATCTACAGCTATGTGTGTGCAAACAGGAATCATCGCATCTCCTTGGCCATTTGCTCAAAATTTCTCCAAACTTGCGAGTACTAGACATCTCTCACATGGAAGTAAGTTTGTCGGATAAACTTTTGTTTTTGCTGGTTTAATGCGCAATATGGTCTTTTATCTGATTCTTCTGCTTGGTCTCAGTATCATGGCGATGATGGGAGAAATAAAATGGTGTGCTGGAATCAACCGAGTTCTGTTCCTGAATGCCTGTTGTCGAGTCTACAAATTCTCAACTGGTCAAGGTACTTTGGGAGACCACAAGATAGAGATATTGCGGTTTACATTTTGAGAAACGCTTGTCACTTAAAGAAGGCAACATTCTTGGCTGATACACAAGAGTATTATGTGCCAGACCTTAAGATGCTCAAGGAGTTGACACTTTCTTCCCGAGCTTCAAGCACATGCGAGCTCGTATTTGTTGAGGAGTATCCTATATCCGATGAACAATTCAAAAACTATGTATTTAATGGACGTCTAGTACATAGGAATGTCTAGTTTTTCCGACTAATGAACGTCTAGTACATAAGACCGTTTAAGAATCTTCCGACTCTGCTATGTACTCTGCTCGTATGGTTTGTCTTCGACATAATTCTAGTTTATTAAATGTTTCTCTTTTTTTTGTGTGGTCAATTTGTAGTTTTTCATTACTTAAACGGTCTCGTTCCATCTCGTAATTGAGATACGTAGAGCAGATTTAGCCAAAGTATCAGCTCAAACATTAAACTTGCGAGAAACGTGAAAGAAATGAAAAAAAAAATATGATTCCGGTTTGTTGTGGTATATATTTTATCACTTCTTGTGGAACTTCCGATTTGATTCCTGTTTCCGAACAGAGATCGAGCCTCTAGTTAACTTCACAGGTCTTTTCTTCTAGGGTTTTGTCCCATTCCATCAATTTCTTTCTAGGGTTTTGTTCTGTTCTGTGTGTTTTCTCTCGTTACTAATTCATTTGCTTGGCTTTCGCAGTTCTTGTGGAACCTCTGATTTATCTTCTGATTCCGGTTTCCGAGCAGAAATCGAGCCATCTAAATTAACTTCAAAGGTAATTTCTTTCTAGGGTTTTTGTTCTGTTCATTTGCTTGGCTTTAGACGAAATCCTTTTGAGTTCTTTTTCAATATTTTTCCAGGGAAGACCAAGAATCCAATTTTCTTTTAGTATCTCGTCGAATCTGTACGATATGGCCAGACTGATGACTTGCTGGTGAAGATATTATCGTATCTTCCAACCAAGAGTCTGCATCACTTTGGGAATTTGTTGACAAGAATCTGCCATTACATAGAGCTCCGGTCATAGAAAGCTTGCGTCTCGACCTCTATTTTGTTGAACCTGAAAATATCAAACGGTGGGTTGAGATTTCGGTTTCTCGCAATGTACGTGAGCTGGAAGTTTCTTATAATTCGAACACCAAAAACACATTCCCGGGAAGCTTCTACACCTGCGCATCGCTCGTGATCTTGAAACTCAGATTCGTGAATGTCATGGATGTTCCCTCAACGGGTTGTCTTCTCTCTCTGAAAACCTTGGACCTTGAACATGTCAAATATCATCAAGAATCTCTCCAACGGCTTCTATCTATGTGTCCTGTTCTTGAAGAACTATCGGTGAATCTTGGTGATGCTAATTATGACACTGTGAGAGAGTTCACTATTATCGTCCCTTCTTTGCGGAGTTTATCATTCTTAACGCCTAATTACTGGCCTTTAGATGGGTATGTGATAGATACTCCTTCTTTAGAGTATTTCAAACTTGAGGATTGGAATGATAGGGAACATTACGCTGAGATTAGGAATATGCCAAAGTTGAAGGAAGCATATGTTGATGTTGTATCCTTTGATCTCAAGAGTCTTATTAGATCAATCACATCGATTAAGCGTCTTACTATATGTTCTGAGGTAATCACTTTTGCAGCAAGTTTTCAATCACATTTGTGGAATCCTTTGTTTAATCATTCTCTTAATATCGTTGGGGCAGGATGATGTGTCTGGTGATGGTTTTGTTTTCAAACATCTTGAACATCTGAAGCTATGTGCCTGCAAAAAGGATTCTTCGACTCTCCTTGGCCAATTGCTCCAAGTTTCTCCAAACTTACGAGTGTTAAACATCTGTGTGATAGAAGTAAGTTCTACCTCCGCCACTGCCAAATACAACAGATTGCTCAAAGACGTAACTAAACCAAATACACCAGGGAGTGTCTGATTGGAGGAAAAATCAGATTCCGCAAGAAATGTTTTGAATATTTGTTCTTAACTCACATTTTTTGTCACCCAGTTATTAAGTTATTTTACAATGCTTTTTCTGGTAAAGATTTTTCATTTTACGGTTTTGATTAATTTTGGTATTCCATGATTTACTTATTGTGTTACATACCAGTAAAAAAAAAGTAGTTTGCAATTTATTTTAAGGTATTTAAACGTGTCTCGTGGTTTTATTAATTGTTTTTATATTGTTTATGTATTATGTATTGTTTATCACGCACGTTCATTTTGATTTTTTTTTTCCTTCTTTCAAAAAAAAACAAGCTGTCGATCTCAGGGTAATTGTCGTCGGAACTTAGAAATTCGGAAAAACAAAAAAAAATTAGGTAGCATGAAAATGAGATGATCACCTAAACCTGTTAAGTTTGACATAACAATATAATACTGATAAAATCGTTCATACTTTGTTAATATACTCATAAGTCATAATATTAACTCTTTGGTTGGTGGCCTAACACATGTCTTTCGTCATTGTGAAGAACAGTAAACAAATTTGGTTTCTAACTACTCTACTTTCAAGATAATAATGTTGAAGAATATTTATTTATGTATGTATAAAATCAAGTCTAGCATTGTACATTGCAAAATAAATTAGCATATCGTTTTATTGGGAAGTCTACTAAATATATTAAAATGCTAATTTTACATAGCAAAACAAATCGACTTTCTAGAATTTTTTCTTCTTTTTTACAAAAACAAATGTAACAATAATCTTAACTCGCACACAAAAGACATGAACTACAAAGTCTACAACAAAAGTTACTACAACTCAGAGATTCCACAAGCAATCCAATTCTCCCGTACCGACTAAACCGGATGGATCAGTACCGGGAAATTGAGTTTCTTGACCGTTAAGCAACAGCTTCATTAGCGAATAATTGTCTTGTAGAAACAGAGGATCAGAGTAAAACAGAGAACCAAAACCGTCTTTGGACTCGTGAACGAGTCTTTTGTCTTCGGTTTCTTGGTCGGAGAAGCAGGCCACGTGAGTCGACGAACCGGGGAAAGAGTCTCGTTGAGAACAATCCATCAGCGAAGGTAAACCAGCCGGTTCGATTCGGTTAATGTGTGAATCGAGCAACGTTAAACCGGATATATCAACCTTTGTACCATCGGCACGCTTGTGGAAAACACGACAAATAACCCACTCGTTCTACATTCACAAACACACAAAAATCAATTTCAAATCCACAAAAAAGATCACACATACAAAACAAACAAAAGTCTCTTTATGTTTACCTTAGCTGTTTGGGGAAGATTTTGGATTGAATATTTGCCTTCTAAACGATATTCGTGCATAACCCAATTGCTTTTTATTCCTTTAGGAGCTCTTCCTTTGTAGAAAACTAGAGTTTTCTTCATACCCACAAGTGATTTACCCTTAAAAATCTCTTTATCTTTGCCTGTGGCTTTCCAATAACCGGCTTCAGTTGCCCGGTTTGTCCTTAAACCGGTTGGATATTTCCGGTCTCTTACACAGAAAAAATACCATTCTTTCTCCCCCATCTTAGCTTTCCCTGTTCCACCAAAAAAATCAATCCCAAATCAAAATTGTGAGCTTAAATAATAATTAAAAACAAAAATACTAATTAACAGAGAATTTTCTTAGTTAAAAGGCATGATAAAATTTATATGTATATATGAGATGTAAAATGAAGAGATCCTAAATTATATGAATATTTAGAATGTTTGTATATAGTAAAAAAAAATTTTGAATCTTGAAAGGTTGTGAAACTTACGAGGCAAGTCCCAAGGCTCGATCTTGTTGAGATCAACTTCACCTATGGCAGTAGCAGAGAATAAAGTGTTGAAAACCTTTGGTTTGAGGTAGTGACTTATGAGTTCTTCATCAGTAGGGTGAAATCTGAATCCAGGTGGTAGATCAATCTTCTCTTCATCTTCTACTATTTCACCGATTCTTGATCCATCGTAATCCATTTTAATCATACTAATGGAGTTTCTCAGAAATAATCAAGTCTTGATCTTTTTGCAAAAACAAGTTAACACACTTTTTGTTGTTCTTGTTTGGAGATTAACAGAAAGGGTTTTTGAAGAGGGAAAGAGAGAGAAGAAAGTTGGGGTTTTAAAGAGAGAAGAGAAGGGTTTGAGCAAAGAAACTCCTCTCTATATACTAGTTTTCCATTAGAGATATAAGAATAAAAAAAAAATTATTATTGTTAATATTGAGTCATTGACCAATTATTGGTCAACTATTTTTTTTTTGTATCAAGCTCTTCTTTCAAACAACTAGCTGTATTTCAAGAGTTTTACCAACTATAAATAAAATAAATTTTTATATTCGCTCTGAATGATTTATTGTGTATATAAATGGATTTTCAGATTTAAATCTCGTACAACCATCTAATCATATTATAAATCAGAATATGGTGTATACACATACGTACATACTATAATTAGTTTTCTTAGCAGGACAGAGAAAGAAGAAGATGCGTAGATTGTTAGGCAACTTAAGATGTGTAATTTTCAAAATCTTTTTCATTAAAAAAATAAACCTTTCTACTTCAAGAACTTTAATATTTCTAAGTTTCAATTTGACCAGGAACACTTCACCTGTGGCTCCCTGTCCCTTTTTGGTTAATGTGATAAGAACAATCTTATCCCATTAAATCGTGATGTTTTTGTTCCATTCTTTAACTAATTATTAGTCGGTAGAAAGAATATATCAGTGTGAAATAGTTCAAACAAAAAAAAACAAAAACAAAAGAATAGTTTATATCAGTAACATGATGATTCTGGAATTACAAATTGGTACTAATTAATATATGTAAGGTGAAGGTTAATATATATATATATATATATATTAGTAATTTTGTTCGAATGGTTAAAGAATGATCAAATTTTAATATTTACTAGTATTACGGTACGGGTCACTATAATTGGTGTTGTTTATTAGGATAACTATAAGAGAAAAAAGAGTTCCAATGGTTCGATGTAATTTGTTTTATTTGTTTAACAAATGTTATCCAATTTCATGAAAAGAGTATGATGCATGAACCTTGGAAAGTTGATTTTTTTAATATTAAAGGAATTGTTTCTTTTGTCCTATTCCAATATCTACCGTTATAAGAAAATTTAATATTAAATAAGTTCAATGAAAAAACTGGATAGAAAAATGATTTCCATGTGAAGCTGGGGTAATGATGATGAATGGATGAGGAATGGTGATGATGAAAATCTGTTAGAATGTGAAGACATTTTGAACAACTTTAACCATATCTTATGTGAATTATTTGCTTTTAATGATCGAATCACGCGTTTGTGCATACGAGGTTGTCATTTGTCACTTCTATATGCATGTGCACTCTTATTTTTCTCAAATTTCTCCTTTTTTGATTTATAATGTATATATATATAACTCTTTACGTAAATCTGTAGATCTATTGGTATTTTTAATTAATTATCATGGAGAATTTGGATTGATATTAGATATAACTTATGTTTTACATAGTCTTCTTTTTGGATAAATGTTGTTATAAATGGCAATACACCCAAATTACCAAAAAAGAAAGATTCATAAGTTTGACACAAGTGGCCTGAAAAAGATATATATGTTTGAAACTGAAAGAAAATAAATCATAGCACAGAAAAATATTGACTCTTGTAGACCAAAACATACGCTCAAAAGATAAAGCACATGCGCTACGCTGAAATAATTTTTCAATTTGTATGATTTCCATATATCAGTTTTGTCTTTGTTTCATCTTCATTTGAGTTAACTAAATACATTTTCTTGCATTTATTTATTCTCACAATTATGGTGTTTTGCAATAATAGCATATAAATCATAAATGTGAAAATTTGTTAAATGGAATATTAGTATACTTGAACTTGACAGATAAACTTCAAAACCTTAAAAGCTAGAAATAACATTCGATGGTCCATCACGAGGGACAAGTAACTAAGAAAACACACAGTAAATTGGATTGAGTTGCACATAAATATCTGGTAAGAACTACCAAGACGCGAAAAATACATCTCCCAAGATATGATTACACCAATCTTCTCACCCATATATTCCAATCTCGTGTTATAGAAATTATTGCACCGAATTCGTTATAGTTCCTCTTGAAAAATAGATAGACAGACTATATACTAAAAATATTTATGGTACGTTCTAAGTCTAAATTAGATAAACTCGTATACCTATAAGTCTAAACCTCATTTATCAGGATTTTCATCCTTCATCTAGAAGAATACGACATTCTACAGAGAGGAATATTCATAAACAATACAAAACACATTCACATCCGTATAATACCTTTTGTACTTGCTATATACATTTTTTTGTCGACTGATTGTGATTCGAACATTAGAGAGCCTTCAAAAAACATCCACCAATGTTCACTAAATCGTAATTTCTTTATTGATGCATATCCATATACTCCCTTATCGATTTAATCTGAAGACTCTAAAGGCCACATGAAAAATATATATTGCCAAATTTTAGCATGAACAGCTTAGCGCTGAAAAGAGAAAAAAAATAATAAATTAATATGCTAAGAAAGCTGTACCATCCACAAAAACCTCTACAAGATCAGTGAAATCATTTCGGGACAATGGAGGATTTCCACCAAAACTGGTAGCCGCTCTAAAGTCTGTACCACAGAGATTTGTAAGAGACACACAGAATTGCAAAACATAATTTATCTTTGATTAGAAATCATATAAGCAATCATAACAGATCTAGATCTGTCTAATCAGTATTACACAATCTTGCTTACAACAATTTGACATTGACCAATTCCTAATTTACCAACCTAGCACAATAACATTTATGTTTTTACGGTTTTTGTATTCATACCTAAAACCCTAACCTTTTATCTTAGTTTATTGTGTTTTTCCCAGAAAATGGCTAAACTTCACACAGTCTAACTTCACTGGAAATATACCACATCTCCACACGAACATGTGTATATTTTCTTTCCATATTGTTAAGATCTTCCAATCTTCATTCTATAATACCATGGATCCTTCTTGTTACGCTCAGCAACTTCCTACCAGCTTAAATTGTCCCTGCCATGCCAGCTTTTTCTTTGTGATCCTACTTATCACTCATGCATTTTCTTCGATACTCCAGCAAGTGCCATGTTGATTGTTGAACCTCCATGTTTTGAATCTTACAGCCGCTGCATCATTCATTTGGGGTTAAGACATTTAAACCTAAATTATATTATTTAAGAAAGAAAAAAAGAACAACAACCAGTAGTGTTCCACCTGAAATATAGAATTATCATTATCTAATTGAACGACTAATTTAGCTTGTGCGATCCAATCTAATTATGCATATTTTATTCATATTTTGTCAGTTTATGCAGAATTGTTTCCTTGATCATTGCAAAGCTACATTTGTGTGTTTTTTTTTTTACTAAAGAAATGTTATCACATTCAATAGCCTAGGCCCTTTAACAAAAATAAATAAATAAATGTCAATAGCCTAAGATACACTTTTGCATATTCATAAGTATTATACACTTTTTATTTTATTTTTTATTAAATCTAGGAGTGGATACGAAAGTTTTTTTACCCTGATCCATCAATACCGGTAGATATCTAGATCCAATCCAAAAAAATGGTTTTATTTCTTTGAGTTTTAAAATATAAAACTATATTGTTTCGCATATAGTGCTATATAGAATTATTTTTGTGGTCTTTTATATGTAAGCTTTGGTTCTTTAGAAAAAGAAGAAGAAAGAATATAACTTTTCGTGCAAATTTATATAGCAGTATTGAAATAGTATGTATTAGTGGATAAATCATTTGATAAGTTAACCAACAAAAAGAACTACCAGATGTAATCTTCTTAAAGCAAAACTAAATAAAGAGTTGGATTCTCACTAAGATATTTTGCAATCTTAGCTACTATTAATTTACTTCATTTGTTAAGGAATCTATACTCTTAAAGCTAATCCTTTCCTTTTTGTTTTAGCAGTCCTTTCCTTTTCAGGAAATATATTAAAAACTCTGGAAATATCTTAGTTTTATGTGAGCCCAAAAAACACGTGTCCTTTCGTTTTCTGAAACGGCAAGAGTTTCAATCGTATTGCCAATGCCAACCTTCTCTTGGACACGTCACACATACAGCCAATTTCACAATAGACAAGTGGTTGGTGGAGAGAAAAGATTAATAATGAAATTCTGTTCTTAATTATCTTAATTAATTGTATGAAAACAACTAATTTAGTTAATTAATTTAATTTTGAAGTTTGACCAATGCTTCCTGCAGAGAAACATGAGCTTGCGAGAGGGAACAAGCCATGCGTCGAGCTTCCATTGGTTAATATGTATGTACAGAGAAGATAATCTAGATTTTGTGTTAAGTTAGGAAATCCAATGTCAAACAAATATATCAAATACAAATATACAATAAACTATTAAGCTTAACATTGTTAAGATAGCTCTAGAAATGATCATATTATATGATTTCAAAGCCAGTCGAATGACTCGAATGTAATTTATAATTCTGCCAAAAACAAAAATTTGACTTTCTAGCATTTTCTTCTTCTTTCTTTTTCTTTTATTTTAGAAATATAACAAGAATCTTCATTCACACACATCAACAACACGTTTTTGAATTTAAAAAAAAAAAAACACTTACCAATACATGAATCAAGAACTCGGTAGATTAGCTGGTATATATTAAGTTAAAATTAGCTTCATTTTATCTCCTTATAGATGAATTTGAGGATGTTAGTTTAACTTTCATTCTCACTTCTTATGTAACCATGTTGATTCTCTAGCGAAAAAAAACTTGAGTTCATGAGATATTTTATTTTTTCATGCAAATCAAGCAAACTCGATAATGGTGGTTCCACGAGACAATATTTTTACCGGCCAAACTTGATTATCGTTGACAAAAAAGAAAAGAAGAAGACATGAACTACATTTCTACAACAGAAGTTACAACTCAGAAATTCGAAAAGCAATCAAATTCTACCGTACCGACCGACCAAACCGGAGGGATAAAAATTGTAAAATTATGTTTCCTGACCGTTAATCAACAGCTTCATTAGCGAATACTTATCTTGTGGAAACAGAGTTATCAGAGTAAAAAAAGAAAACAAAAACCTTCTATACACTCGTGGATGAGTCTCTTGTCTTTGGTCAATTTCTTGGTCGGAGAAGCAGGTCAAGTTAGTCGACGAACCGGGGAAGGAGCCTTTTTCTCCTCTTGATCAAACGAAGAACAATCCATAGGCGTAGTAGGTAAACCTACCGGTTCGAACATGAGTCACATGCATGACTAATTTTATTTGTCATGAAAAAAAAATGAAGAGAGTGAAGAAAGCCGTGTGAGAAGAAGACTGAAGGCAATTATGAAGAAAGTGCGAACGTATGAGAGTAAATACTATTGATGTAACTTTTACGATGCATCTCCTTTTTAATATATGTGATGTGAATAATGTGATATCGATAAACTGACCCAAAACTATATGTGATTCCAAGTATTTTATGTGAGTGAATTGACTCAAACAACGAATCCATGATAAGAGACATACGTTATATATAATTTAGCAACGTGAGACAGTTTCGTTTACTACTGTCTATTGTTTGTTTCTCAAGCTATTGCTAAAGTGAGACCTAAGAGAGAGAGAAAAAAAGCTGCATAAATTTGATTGCAAATCATAAGATCTGTTTTTTTTTTATTATACTTGTGAGTGCTAAATTATAAAACAAGTTTAAATAATGCAGAAGAATTTGGATCTAGGAGGTGTAAGAAAGTTAGATTAAACATGGGTGAGGAGTGTTTAATTATGATAAGTTGAATTCATCCAACAAAAACTGAATTCAAATAATCAATTTGAAAACCAAATTAATTTTAAAAATAAATCGTTCTATGTTTTTCTCTGTATCCGAAATCCAAAAAAAACCACATAATCAATTGAATGGAAAAGAAAAAAAATCAATCTAAAAAATATTATTTAAAAAATAAAAATCGTATTCGCACCAATATCAATATCATATCAAACCAGTCTAGATAAATTTGGAAAGAAAATCCAATATAAAATTTAGGTTTGTTTTGACATAATATTTAAAAATGTTGTGAAAACAATTAAAAATATTATTTGTACCGATGTTAAGATCATATCAAATCTACCCAAATTAAATCTGAAAAAAGAAAACAAATATAAAATTTAGTTTTTAGAATATTAAAAATTACACGGAATTTAAATAAGAGAAAACTAATATAAAATTTACTCTTTTTTGAAAAAATTATAGATTAAAAATCATTGTAAAAAAATTCAAATTCACGCCAATATCAAACTGAATTTTTTAAAATAAAATTATGATTAAAATTCCAAAATGAACACTCACATTAAACTTGTACAAAACTGACATGAAAAATAATAGTGCTGACACAAAAATGTGACACTAATTAGACAGAGGTGAGGAAAAAAAAAATTTAGACAGGATTTTCTTATATGTTAGGAAAAAAAAAGGTTTAACATGAATGAAGAGAGCATACTAAGATAGCCAAGGAGACTGCCTGAAACCGTAACCCACAAGATTCAATCGATTGTTGGAATATTGTTTTTGAAATGCTAAAAATTGATTAAAAACCCCCATAAAATTGAATTATTGAGAAGAATTTGGCGCAGGCAAGTCATCCTTGGCTACTAAATATGAACTCTCTTCTTCATGTAAAACCTATCTTCTCTTTTATTACTCTTTACATTTACTCTTACGATTTGCTCTCCCTCTCCCACATTTGCTCTCCTTTTATAGCCTTTGAGGGAATATGCCTATTTCTAGAGTCAGCTCTTCTTCGGATTTTTTTTATTAAATTATTTTATTTTACTATTTAGATTTACAAGTTGTATACACCAAATTTTTCAGAATATATTCATTTAAGAAAAATATTTTATTATCTTTTAGCAGTATTTTATTAGTTATAGAAACATTTTTTTTCTTGTTACGAGGGTGGAGATAAGATTTGTTTTGTGTGGTGGTCAATCATCAAATTCAAAAATCAGTAGAAACATTTGATTTAGATTATTTTTAGTGATTAGTATACAGAAAGAAAAATGTACCATATATGATATATATATATACTATATGGTCATTATCCAATCAAATACATCCACCTATTTCATATTTATCTTAGGTGATTCTGTCATTTCATTTGCCATATATAACAATTTAGATAAGAAATTATGAGAATTGAGGTAAAGGTGTTATTGGTCCATTGGTGGTTGGTTACAAATTTACAATTTCCCTTGACTATTTTTTTTCCTTCATCTTCTTATTTTTACTTATCCTTTTCAAATCTTTTCTGTCCATGTAAGTAGAAAATTAGCTTTTCAAATCTTTTCTGTCCATATAAGTAGAAAATTATCCATGATATGTTTACAACTTTACATCTTATATTACCTCTTTAGGCTTTGAAAAAGGTTTGACCATCAACAGAAAGGAATCACAAAATCTTTTGAATATTGGGTGTTGCCGAATCTGTCCACCCACTTACAAAGAATAAAATTATTAGATATAGCTATAATGAAATAAAAATCATATCGTATCTAATTTTTCTCAAGTACTGGATTCTTTGTTATTCCACCTACATTTATACAAAAATGTCCTTCAATATCATGATCATGACCACTCATTTGATGGTCAAGTTTGATGTCTGAGGCCATTGGTAGAACTATTTTCTTTAAAAATTGGAATTCTTCAACAAGTCTAACCGGTCTACAAAGGTCGAATGTAATCTACAGTTAATTGGTTTGGTAGAAGCTTAACCGGTCCGAAATGACCAAACATTATCTAGTTTTGGTTTATGGTGAGTTTCTTTTTCCCGAGCCAAAATCGAAACTCAACCATACCAAGAGATACAATACAAGAGCTACGACTAATAACCAATTAACCACATGCATCTGCAGCTGCGTCTGCGTTTGATACACTAAACGCGAAAGTTTAGGTTTTTAGGAAAATCTGTGATCCACTAAATGAAATTCAAATTGGAATGGAACAATGAGACATGGAAAAGTTTGTGACTAAAACAGTAGTAAGAAATGGGACAGTGATTCATATAATATTTACTTTGTGGTTAACCAATATTCATACTATTAGCTGAAGTTTGGATTGTTGTTGCGCATGGCGCATGCTACTAGCTATTACCAAATGATTTAGGGCAGAAACGCGTCAGACAATTCATTGTCAAGATTAATATCATAAGTTCTTTTGGATTTCTGCATCGTAAGCTATTGCAAGATCTCTTACCATATTTCCCAGAGATTTGAGGAGCTCAAAATGTTTGTTCCGATGAGAGATATATGCATAACACTGTTAAACAAAAAAATGAATATGGAGACAGGATATGGTTATTTATGTACTTATCCCTATAAGTTATAATCTCGTCTACTAGTGAATACTCAAATCAATGTTATGTCCACAAGATATGTTCTTAATCGATGCAAACTATGTTAGGTCCCAAAGATTTTGATGCAAACTATAATAGAACAAGTTTACTGCGATTTTCGCTTCTTCTTTTTTTTTTTCATCCCATAAAACAATTGTTTCTTACAGACACATAGGCATCTATATATGTTAAATAGATTTTAGATATTTAGTTCAAATAATTAACTTGACTAACAAACTAAAAAGAAAAAAAACTATAAAAATGATAGCTTGACTGATGGCAGATATGATCCTTGATAGTCACTTCTTAATGATTAACCTTCAGTTGAGTGTAGAAGTGAAGCTTAGATGATGTTGAAGTTATTTCCGGCATGTGTGCTAACTCTATCATTATATCCTTTCGACCCCAGAAGATTGAATTCAAGGAGATTCCAGCTCTCTTTCGACACTTGGAGTTGGCAAAGATGTATCTTACTATTTCCATCTCTTCAGGTTTTCCTCGAAATTTGTTCCACTCAAAGATCTCGAGACTGGTTGACAAGCATAAGGGAACATAACTCGGTTGATTCCATGAAAGTGGAAAAGGCTCAGTTTGATAATATACCTGTGAGGCAGCATCAGGGTATGTAATTAACCTACGTTTGCTTCAGTTTAAAAATAACTACTGCATGCATGCGCAGGAGAATTACAAACCTGATCGATGACAAGAACTTTCAGGTTAGGAGAATTTTGAAGCAACAACAATAATGGTTCAAACCAATCTAACACACAAGGACGTATTTTACACTCTATAAGCTGGGAGAAGATAATGCCACAAGCCCACAACACGCAACCTGAAATGAACACAAGCAACACATAAGTAAACGCTAGAAATGTGATCATAACCATAAGAAAAAGAAAGAAAAAAAAAGAAAGTGAAGTGACCGTTATAGGGCTTCGACATATCTCGAGATACCTAAGTGAGGAAAGACATCTCATAAATTTGTCATCAGGGTAACTACAAACGTAATTACTTTATCAAGGTGAGGCTTGTTCTCAATTGAGAAAGAGTTTGTAGGTAAGTCTACGATGGTAAATTCCTTTAAAATCATGGAATCTATGACTAAAGATCCTCCTCCCATATCTGTGCATCTTCATCGTTGAATACTCTTGATTTCGTATATTCTTTCTCTAAGGTCTCTAGCGATGACACTTTTATAGTAAACTTTGTTACATTGTCTTGGTCATGTAGTCACGCCACATTCAAATGTTTGAGAATAGGACAACTCGATAAAAGCCTAACAAGAGATTCCCTTCTTTGTATATCACAGAGCAAGGTAAAGATGTTTAAGAGAGGGAAGGCAAACCGGAGAAGAAACATCTACAGAAACCTTGCCAGAAAGACGGAGATAAACAAGTGTATCACATATATAAAGGCTTTCAGGTAAGCTAGTAGGCTCTGCGGCCCCGTGAGACCAAACTCTAGTTTACAAACCCTACGATCAATTGCATTTCCAATCACTTTCCCTTGTTAGCATCAACAAGACAATATGGACCAAGTTCTATAGCCAAAATTTCTAATATAGGGGCCTTGTGGAGTTTCAAAGACTCGTTAAGAAACCGCCATTTAGACTCGGGTTGCTCACTTTCGCCAAATAAACGGCCAACGAAGCCGCCAAGATTGTGAGTAATTATCTTTGATATCTTTGTACTCCATTCGTGGCACCATCTCCAATCAGACCGACAAAAACATGGTAACCACTGCATCCTTTTGTTGGAACCAATGACAAAATCTGCACAAGCAAAACATCTGACAATGCACTGATCTTATGTTCACCTCCTCCAATTCCCCAACAGCTTATGGTTCCTTTTTTCAAAAACCCGAATATAAGCAAAACGCATCCTAACATCTTTTTCTCAGTGGAACTACACCAATTTTTGAGGGTTCTTCACTTTCATTTTTGTATATGTATATTTACTAGGTTCAACCCCTCGCGATGCGCTAGTCTTTTGTAAACAAAATTGGAGTTGGTTGTGTGTGTTCTTAATTATATAGTTTGTTTTACAGGGTTTTCTGTAATTAATAAAAATATATATATTATTTGATTGCAATATTAAATACTTGATCAGATAAATATCTTTAATTCTCTTTCCGTTTCAAAGTATAAGTCGTTTTGGAATTGATTTTTTTTGTTTCAAAATATAACTCGTTCTCGGTTTAAATGTTTATTTAATAAATTCCACTTTTATTTGTACTGTTATAGCTAATTAATTAGTGTGAACATAATATATGATATATTAATAAGGAGTAAAATGAAAAAAATAAACTTTTTTTAATATATGTGAAAAAATCTTAAACGACTTATATTTTGAAGCAGAGAGAGTATCACTTTATTTTCATAAAATAGAAATACATATAAATTTTTTTAGTAATGATATATTTTGTTATTTTTTTTTGATAAAGTTGTACAATAAATTTTAAAGTATTATCACTATACACCAATTAATAACATGGAAATTAACTCCTCCCAAAAAGAACTATTAACTGCTAACGGTACAATGAAAATTTCTCTTTGAGTCCTATGCCGACAAACATCTCAAGTAGGTTTTCTCTCTCATCATGTGTGACTAAAATCTGAAAAGTTGTCAGTTGAGAGATATATTTCTCTCTTATATACAGAACCATTCCATTCTTTTTTTTCGAAATAGTCGGATAATACAGTTAACGATAACACAATCGCATTACATCGTTAACTATACTCATTAGTTAGATTAACGTTATATCATTATTTTATTTAATATTAATTTTCAGTTAATTGTATGTTATTGACACAGGGTAAAGTTAACAACAGGGTTTGTGTTGTTTGTGTTTAACGTTAACTATACTCATGAAGTTTATTTAATATTATTTCATTTAACGTTAACTATACTCATGAAGTTTGTGTTTATGATAAATCTGTTAAGATTTACCATTTAAAATTTAGATTTTAGGTCTAAGTAGTTAGGGTTTAGTACTTTAGTGTTTACGGTGTAAGGTTTAGGGTTTAGGGTTTATGGTTTTACTATTTATAGTTAAGATTTAGAAATTAATTAAGAGAGTTAATATTAGGGTTTATGTTTTAGGGTTTAGGGTTTAGTGTATTGTTTTTTATCTTACTCGAATAAAATGAAAAAAATGGTGTTAAGGAATAAATGTTATCTGTTATTGACTTGTTATTTAAAAGTAATCTATATGATCGACAAGGATAAATTTAACAATAGTTTTCATATATAGTTATCAGATATATATATATATATATATTAAAGTTAGCAAACAATAATAATAATACCTGGACCGTTATGTCGTTTACCGATATCTAACTTCATTATCTATCACATAATACTTAGATATATCAAATCTTGTGTCAGGCTATAGAGTTATTATCCATGTTATATCTGTGCTGAGCTGATTTGCATTTAATGCTCATGTCGGCTAATTCCTTTTTTTTTTCAGGGGCAAGTGGTGTTAATGTCATGAGGAATAAGAGTAATACAGAGAAAAAAAAGATAATGTAGTAGGATCAAACTAATTTTGGATCATCTTTTAATATCTACTCTATTTTTTGGTAAATTTTTGGTATTAAACAAAATCACTCTAAAAATTTTATGCTTAACATAAATTGGTGTACTACAATGAAATTTTTGCAATGATATAAATTTTTGTTAACAAAGAGAATTTGAGGTATAAGTTTATTGCATAATAAAAAATAAAATTTATTCAAATATAAACTTACCATTATTATTTATATTTATATGTATAGAATTAATTTTTGAGTAAAGTGTAAGATAATTTGTTTTAAGTTTACTATACCTTTAAATAAACTGAATATTACGAAAGCCAATAAAATTCAAATTTTATTTAGAATATCATCAACATATAAATATTAAATAATAGTACGAGATTTTAATTGCATCGTTTAATATAATTTTTTATCGTGATTTTAATTGTCATGGATCTAAACATCCACTTGGAGTTGGAGTAGTTGACTTTATGTCGATCAAAGGCCTCAAACTAATATTCAAGAGACCACAAACATTGTCTCCATATCATAAACTACTACAATTTATCACTGATAAGACATTCAATAAAATCATAAAGACCCCTTCACACAAACCCATTTCACACAATCTCAAACAAAGAAACTCGATCAAAAATCAGATCCAAAAAACAGAAAACATGGTGAGACAAAGAAGAAAAACAGAGACAGAAGAAGAGAAAAGAGAAGAAGATGGAGAAGAAGAGAAAGTGGAGCAGATAAGCAAGAGTCGAGTGATTAGCAGAAGAAACATGCAATCTCTTGTGATCGGACTTGTCGGAGCAGCGTTGACTCTCGGAGCTTATTCACAAACATTTGTTTCTTCGTCTAAATCTCTTGGCGCAGGTCTCTTTGTCCTCTTCTTCGGTTTGCTCGTTAGCGAAGGTTTCATATCCATTTAACTCAAGTTTGTTTTTTTTGTTTTGCTTTACTTAATTTGCCGGGTTATGGACTCCTCTTGATTGTAATACACCCAATATTTTTATTTCCATCGTCTACAAATACAGTAATGGCATTCATACAAATCACTAGGTTACGAGTCATTATTATTTTTAACGTGTAAAATCAAACATCCGGCAAATCAAAACTGAAAACTTTCGAGAGTTAATTAAGTTCAATATAAGAAAATTAACAAGAAAACAAAAAAAGAGAAAGAAAAATTGAGCGTGTAGATAAAATGTTTGGGATTGTGAATATTTTATTTCCTAGGTAGATCAAAAAGTAGATAGCACATGGTCAAATCTTGTAATGAAGACGCAAATGATATGAATGTGAACATAAATAAGTATATATTTATATATATATATATATATAACTAATATAAACCGACATAAAAAAGTACTATTCTTCTACATGTTGAGCTGAAATTGACTTCCGACTTTGTCTATATCTTATTATCTTACGTGTCAAATAAACACACAAAAGTTCGAACGAAATTGTAAAACCATTAAAATCATTTATTAGATATTGTACTAGGGTCGTTATTAATCTTACGAAGGTCCAAGAAGGTGTTTTGAAAAAGAAATTGATTTTGTTTTTCTAGTTATATATAAGTAAACAGTACCAAAAAAAAACAAGAAGAACCTAATTGAAGAGGTATGTTTGAACTCTCACTCTTGATCTCCAAACTACAAATGGCAAATCAATCTAACCACTAAATTAAGATAAATTCAACAATTTTTGGGATCTCAAAAATACATATATATATATATATATATATATAATGAAGCAAATCTAGTGTTTTCCAACAAAGTAGGTACATCTCTAATAGGACCATGGCCATATTCATCATCATAACTCATAAGAGTGCTCTATGAAAAATTTTATGTATCACCGTAAGCCTAGAATGAGAGAAAGAGGCAGTTGCATAGCCAGAGATGACTTGCCGGGCTTGCTTTGTCCATCCCACCACCAAACACATATACACAAGAAATTACCTTTTCTTATTAAATATATAAAGTAGCGAAAAAAAAAGTAATTAAAACTATGTATATAAGGTCCCTATAATAAGCATAATCTCCATAGATGAAAAATTATGCTATATACAAAGCTGCCGGCAAGTCATCCTTGGCTAAACAACAATGGCCTATTTCCCACATTCAAGGCCTTCGATGAGATAATCTATTCACACACCTTCAGTGTTATTCCTATCCAAAGTTAATATTTAATATTTCCAAACCATTAATAACTGAAATAAAAACCGAATTAAATTTCTAGTGAAGGTAAAATGACCAAAAAAAAATTGAGAGCAAAAGCCATGGTGTGAAAATTCTCAAAGAAAAGAGTAAGATATAAAAACATTTGTTTCTCCCTTTTGTGAATGTATTTGTTATTCCAAAAATTTTGGGCAAAAAATGAAGAAGAAGCATAGGAACGAGAATATATATAGAGAGAAAGAAAGCAATTAAAGAAAGATGAAAGAATCTTTCAAGCTTTTAAAGTAAATGAAACCTATTTCAACGTGTTTCGTATTTATAGATTTTTCTACCATATTCCAAATATTGCTCATTAATGTTTTGTTGTCGTTGCATAGGCTCATCTTCCAATAGATTCGTACAAGTATATAAACAGTTTTATATGCATAGCCTTGAATAAAACAAATAAACTATAAATATATATATATATATATATAAGTTTATTATTTATTTCATCAAGAAGGGGCATGAAATATGCACACCTAATACACGTATTATGCATATGTATTTTGGCTACTATATAAATCTTGGCTAGTAGTTAAATTTTGGTTAGTCGTTTTTGGAATAATTATTCAAACTATTGTTAACAAAGAAAGTTATTCAGAGTAGTAATATAGAAAAGAAAGAAAATGATTTAATCTACAACACCCATGATCTTCGACCATATTCTTACATTGTCTTAACATATTAACGTTATCAGCATTTGCTCATGCCAAACGTCATTTGAAAAGTAGAGTTAGTATATATATATATATCAAACATAATATCAACAAACTAGTTTATTGAATTTGGGTCTACCTCACATTCCTTTTAAACTTATCCTATCTCACTCGACCCACACAAAGTTTAGCTCTGTCTAATGTCTTACTATTTTTAAATAGAGATTAATCTGCACTGTAGTGCAGAGGACATATTTTTGACCTTCAATTAATTTAAATAATTTTGTAAAAGCAGTTATTTTGTAAAAACATTTATTTTATAAAGTTTATCATATAATGCATATCTTTTGTGAATTTAAAAAATGAGTTGATCCGTATATAAAGTTATTTTTATTTTTTTGTTTAAATTATAAAAACTGAATTAATCTATATATAAAGTTATTTTAACCCATTAGCGTTAGACTATAATATTATTTAGCCTAATACGCAAAATATTATAATATTGTAATCATTAGTTAATTTTCATCGCTTAATAACTGAGTTTTATAATCTGTCCACAAACTATAAAAAATCAATTTTATCTTCTTTAATTATATATGAAAATAATATAATATTCTTCATACTTAGGTTTTATATATAATAAATAAAAAGACAACAAACTTTATTTAATTTTTAAAAAAAATTATAATATTTAGTAGATTGAATATATCACCTATTTTGAAAACTAATATTTTGAATTGCAAAATTTGTTTTGGTGGATATTAAAAAATTAGAACTATAATCTATTATCGAACTAACTCATTTACTTAACATGTTTGTAATAAATTAAAATATAAAATTAATTATAATATGCACTGTTTAATAACTCTCACTTCACCATCACAAATTTTTTTTGTTTAAAAATCAAATTTTTCATATCAATTTTTTAGTAAAAATAATAAAATTATTTTGTATATAATCAAGTAAATAAAGCAGCAAATTATAGTAAAAAATATTTCACCACTTTTTAATATCATAACTTTTAATCTCGACTTTAATATTATTTGAAAAAAAAAATTATTTTCATGTTTTTAATTAAATATACTTTATAGTATCATTTGAAACGAAAAATATAAAAAACTACCATATTTTTGAATTCAAAAATTAAATAATAAATATATTCTATTAAACAAGAAACAAATATTTATTAGGTTGGTTACCGTTAGATCCTCCACGACCTCCAAGACCGATAGAAGAGATCGTCAATCAATGTCTAGTGAAAGATCTGTTTGATGAACAGTCAGGGTGGAATGAAAGAGAAATACGAAGACTAGTTGTGGAAGAGGATGCAGAGATTATCCTATCTATGCGGGTAAACTCAAGATCAGAAAAAGATTTATTAGGTTGGCACTACAATAAAACTGGTCTCTACACAGTTAAGTCTGGTTTGGCAGCTCATACCCATCAAAGGATACTTCATCCCCCTTCTGGTAATGCTAATCTGAAGCAACTAATCTGGAAGCTCAAAATCGCTCCAAAAATAAAGCACTTCCTGTGGAGAGTGGTCTCAAGTGCAATCCCAACAGGTGAAAACCTCAAAAGAAGACATGACAAGAAATTCACTTTGTCCACGGTGTCTTTCTTCAGAAGAAACGACTAATCATCTTTTCTTTGAATGCACTTATGCACAACAAATATGGAGAGCTTCTGGATTTCCAAACCCAAGTGTCTTCAATATGGGATTAAATTTTGAGGAAAAGCTGGAAGCCATACTTAAGAGGAGTTCATTACTGCCTCACAGAGTACATCAATATGCCTTGTGGATATTTTGGCGCATCTGGAAGAGCCGCAATACACTTTTGTTTCAACAAAAAGAAATCCCTTGGTTAACAACACTGAAATTAGCTGAAAGTGATGCAAAAGAATGGTTAAATGTCTACCAGCTTGTTGATAGATATAATCAGCCAGACTTTCATCAAAAACCAACCTCGATGGCAAGACATCATCGATGGCTTCAACCAAAAGAAGGATGGCTAAAATGCAACTATGATGGATCGTACATCAAGGAGAGAAAGAATGCGAAGGCGGGATGGATTCTAAGAGATGAAAATGGAGTTTTCAAAGGGGCAGGTCAAGCAGAAAGCAATGCAGCACAAACGCCACTAGAGAGTGAAGCCCAAGCATTATTGATGGCTATGCAATACTGTTGGTTAAGAGGTTATAGGAAAATCATTTTTGAAGGAGATTGCAGAAACCTGGTAAACCTGATCAACAAAGAAACACTCAACTTTGTAAGTCACAACTGGATCAGAGAAATCTGGAAGTGGAAAGGAAAGTTTGAAAATACAGAATTTGTTTGGACACACTGGGAAAATAATCAAGCAGCAGACACTCTTGGGAAGGTAGCTTTACCGGTTAATACCAAATATAGTTCTTATCATTATGTCCCACATGTAATTTCTGATGTATTACATTCAGACTATGTAAGTTTCAATTAATAAAATAGACGTTAAAAAATAAAAATATATATATATATATTCTATTAAACAATAAACAAATACTGTTCATATTATTATCAATAGATTTGAAAAACAACTATATCTTTTTCTATTGTAATTATTTTTTGTTATTTGTAATGGCATATCATGTAATATTTTACAAAATAAAGATTATTTTTAAAATATTTGCTTAAATAATAATATAGAAATTTTCATACCTAATTCCATACTGAACAAAAATTTCTGTTCAAAAGTATACAGATTTTTAAAATAGCGATTTTATCCAAATTAGACATAAATTACGATTTAACTCCCTAATTTGATCCTAAACATAAATTAAACTTAAATTAATCATATATGACCTGGATACTGAAGATAATATCGGAAAAAAAAAACCCTTGAAGTCACCACAAGAATGGTCGTCCGTTGGAGGGTTATGCCTCACAAACATATAAATCAAAATTTTTGAAGATAAACAAAATTAGAAGACGAAACACGGGAATTAGGTTTCCATTGTCTAAGCAAATTCCTAACTAATATCTCTGATGATATCTTTCTGTGTCTAAGATATGGTTTTTTGTTCTCTCATCTGGTTTATTTTACACAGCTCAAATATATATGGTCCGCCTCCCTAAAGGTCAAGGCCGCTCAGGCCCCAAAACACTATGTTCAGACACCACCACCACCACTTCCCTATTCAGCCACTGATAAAACTAAAATTTTTCAACTGTACGGTTTTGATAGATGTGAAATAAGATTTAGTAAATTCATCAAAAAAAATTTTAATAATTGATCAAATTTTGGACAGTCAAAATTGTTTTGCTTGTTGGAGTCAAGATTTCAATATTGATAATATCTAAAACATTAATCTTATTTTATCTTGGTTTTAATGTTAGACATATTTTTGATCTTGTATCATTCGATATTCGCATAGTTTAATCTCATGGAATAATCATTTCAAGAAAAAATTCTTTTTAAATTATTGTTTTTTGATTTATCAATTAACTAATCACTTTTATATAAGGGAAAAAATGTTTAAAACCTTTTTACATCGTAGATATCAGCAAACATATTCAGAAAAAATCGACAAGACTATTTTGTTTATCTTAAGTATCTGCATTTTGTGGGTTGGGTATGATTGGTTTCGACTTTCGAGTGTAACTTCGTTTATGCTCAGATTAGAGTTAAATCACAATTTATGGCTAATTTGAACAGAAATCATGATTTCAATATCTAAGTGGCTCTAAGTTTAAAGCTTTGTTTTGTGTGGATTAGTTGTGAAATTTTAAACGTTCAACTAGTACCTAAACTCTGTGTGGCTAAGCAAGATATGATAGTTCTGAAGGGGTTGTGGATCGTCGACCCATTGAATTTCATTGTATGTTACATCTAACTTGAATTGTGATGCTTTTAACAAAAAATGAAACGAACTTGAACTTTGATGCATATAAAAACAATCATATTTATACATTTCTCAAATTAACAGAAACTTTGCTAAGGGCTCTCATTTATACAATCATATTTATACATTTCTCGAATTCAAACCTGTATAATTTTTACTATTGATAAGAAAATGATTTTACAAAATATGGTAATAAGGGTATACAATCTAACCAGTGGAAAACTGAAAAGTTAATGAATAGTACATTTTGTACACTTGAATTAGTCTCTAACATATTTAAGGAAAGGTAGTCGGCTATGGTACAAAGAAGACACAGCAAACAATAGGAAGTCTGTACTTGAATAGTTGAATAAGTATCGAGTTATGTGAAGTCTACATCATATAAGTACACGTTTTCATATCTAACTTAATAAATCATGTTTTAAGTTTTTAACCAAAATAAAAGTAGAAGTACATTGCATAATAATAATTAAAAAAAAAAAACAGACTTACTGATCGAGCTATATAATCTCCACCATGCATGACTCACTGGAATATTGTTATTTTTTCTTTTTTTAATAATCTTGTTTGTTTCATCAGTTCTTAAAGATCAATGCCCATTGCTACAAATATAATGGTGCATTTAGAAAATTTCAAGTTCACCCAAAAATATATATTTAAAAGAAAAACTAATTTGACTATCTTATTAAATCATCAGTCTGCATCTAATTTAAAAGAACTCATTCTTAAATTGTTTAACCTCATACAATTGTATGATCTTATTCTTACCTACGTAGTGGCCAGTGTGAAATATTTCCAATATGGTTTGAATCGAGACAATTTAAAAAAAAATGTAATTCATGGTGATTACATATGGTCATCCAATACATAGAGCATGGTGAAGTTTCAGATATAAGAATACTGCAAATATCTAGGGTTTAAATTTTATCTTGTAAGTTGCAAAGTGTAAAGAACCGAGGGAAAATAACTCCATCACCAAACATTACAAAGCCTTGGAATAGCTTTGTAGATAGGCACAGTTACTTTATTACAAATTAACTAAAGTGAAAAAATTAAAGGAAAGCGAATAGTGACAGCTCTTCCTTTGACCTATTATGGGTTTTGTAGTAAATGGAAAATGACCATCCGATGAATCTGCGAACGACATCTCTCACTGGTTAGGTACGTTCAATTTATTGCTTCTTCAGACTTCAAACCCTATAATATTGGAGTTCCTTCACAAAATTATTCGCAACTTAAATTCTGTACAGTAATCTTTCATTAGAGAAGCTTTTACGTAAGTTTTTAAGGGATAATTAAAGTCAAATTTTCTAACAATTTTATAAGGGTTTTGCTCAAATTATTATTTTTTTTTTTGAACTGATTTTATGATATTTTTCATAATATGAATTCATAAACTATTCGTGATGTATGAATATAAATTCTTCATATATATTGTTTTACAAGCATGTTTCTCGTATCGTACATAACATATATCATCATCAAGTGTTTCATGAATGAAGAAAATAAAGCTGATTGATTTATTTACCAAATATCCACAGCCAGTAGTAAACTTTTTATAAAATCTAATAAGTTTTTTTTTAACAACACCTTTATAAATTATTAAATAGTGTAACGGTAGTACAACAATTTTTTTATACAACAAATCCAAAGCCAATAAGGAGGAATAGAGTAAATCAGTAACACCTAATCATTATGGTAAGCCTTCTTCGACAAATCAAGTGAACAAGCAATTTCGACATCCAATATCTTATATCTATCAATTGATTTCCAATTTCAGTACTTTCTCCTCTTCCATTAATCTAATAACTTTTTCATTTGATTAATTAAAACGATGATGATTCAATTTGAATTTTTCCTTGAAGAGTACATATAAAAAATTGGCCTTTCAAAGACTAGGATTGGGCTAGTTCATGGACTTGAGCCCATTTAGTGTTCTCCATATAATTTTTAATTTCTAAATAATTTTATCAAGCTTCGATTAGTTTTATGAATTTGATTTCCATTTTTATGTAAAATACCGCGACAAAAGAGCGACGAAAGCAAAAACAGAGAAGACGGCCAGTCGGCCACCTTAATCGGACGGCTATTATTCCTTCATGGAATCTCCTCCTTTAATCCAGAGAACCACGTGGCTTCTTTATCAAAGAGAGCAAACTTTTACATAACCGTTGGATAAAAACTCTATAACCGTCAATAACCGTCGAAATTTTTAAAATAAAAAATCTCACTCTTCATAAGTCATTTCATTTTCACAAAACCTGTTGAATCACACAAAAAAAAAAGATAGAGAAAACACGAAAATGGAGAAAACAGAGGAAAGCGTCGGGATCAGATTTTACACGACGTCGACTCCGCCGCAAAAACCATCACCACCACCGTCTCGTTCCCCAAAACCCGTCTTAATCTCTTCACTTCCAACACTTCCGGCAGGAGCCACCGCCGGAGGAGGAAGAGGCCGAAAACGTCGCATGGTGGCACAAGGAGTTCAAAAAACGGTTTCGAAGACATCAATGCTCGTCAACTTTCTTCCGACAGGAACACTCTTGATGTTCGAAATGGTTCTTCCGTCAATCTACCGTGACGGAGACTGCAACGGAATCAACACACTCATGATTCATCTCCTCTTGCTTCTATGCGCAATGTCTTGCTTCCTGTTCCATTTCACCGACAGTTTCAAAGCATCCGATGGGAAAATCTATTACGGTTTCGTGACGCCGCGTGGACTCGCCGTGTTTATGAAACCGCCGCCGCCGGAGTCAGGAGGCGGAGATGTGATAGCGGAAGCGGCGATTCCGGTGAGTGACGATAGGTATAAGTTGAGGGTTAACGACTTTGTTCATGCGGTGATGAGCGTTTTGGTGTTTATGGCGATTGCGTTTTCTGATCGGAGAGTTACGGGTTGTTTGTTTCCGGGGAAAGAGAAAGAGATGGATCAAGTTATGGAGAGTTTTCCGTTGATGGTCGGAATTGTTTGCAGTGCTTTGTTTCTTGTTTTTCCGACCACTCGTTACGGTGTCGGATGCATGTCCGCTTGAGTTTTTACATTTGTGTGTGTGTTGTTGTTGTTGATTTGGTGTTTTTAGTATTTCTTTTGTTGTTTCCTTGTAATTTATTTAGATAATCTTAAGTACAAACTCTATTATCTTCTCATTCAAGTATTGTATTCGTTGTGAAATAAAATGTTGTGTTGGAACTAGATATGTGTATGAAACGTGTATGTTTACTTGTTGATCGAAATATTTTACGTTAACAGATTCTCTCGCACAATACCATAACTCAATTTAGGAAATATTGGGATGGGCTAGGCAGGCCCAGTTGTTAATGAATTGAGTTTCTGATTTGCTCTTGATTTGAACTTTGAACAATTCGTCAAAATTTGACGATATTATGTCATGGAATGGCATGGAATGGAACATAAAAAGAAGTTAATACTTTGGATTAACTATTTGCCTCCTTTAAATATACCAACTCAAAATTAAGCTAGCTACTCAAATTTTTTTTTTTTTTATAAAACCAGTTATAACTAATCTGGTAACGAAAGATGTGTTAACTCTAATCAAGAACGCTTATATATCTAAATTTTAACAATGTTGTTAGGATCTTAATCTCGAATCGACTTTGAATTGAACTCGGATACTAATTAATAAAAAAAGAAAAACGACACAGAAATTTACGAGTCTGGCCTCTTAATGTCAGATAACATCCTACGTCTCCGCTTGGTGAATCAAGCAACACTATATTCCAAGATTACAATCTTCTTCTCCTCTATATATATCTCTCTGTAACAACTAACTACCTCAGTGACAGTCAGAGATATATACACACGCTTTGACTGATTGTCAAAAATCAATTACAAATTGAAATGTTGGTTTATATCTAAACCGTAAACCATGAGCAGCAATAACCAGACATTCAATTAGGCTAACCTGTCTACGGTTTAAGCCTAACCAAGTTTATTTTCCATCACCAAAATACAACAAATGTCAAAGACTTGTAAACGTAAAAACAAATTACATTACAAGTTATAACCAGGAGATGGATATTATAATATTCGCAAATTTCACATTTAGTCTTAAAAAGTTAGATTTAATCCACGTCAGCATATCCCCTAACCACAAAACTCGTGTTCACACGCGTCGGATATAACAGCTCATTTTCTCGATAGAAAAGCAAATTAAAAAGCGACGAGAGCGACATTCAGTGACTTGTGGCTCAAAATTTTCTGTCGCCTATGAAAATAAATACGATGATGCCACGTTGTTTCTACTATGCAATAAAGTGTAGTTGTTTACTGCGTGTAATTTAGGACGCACTCAAACTAGTGTAGTCTTATTACTGAAATGGATATAGTTTTTTTTTTCTTTTTTGAAACTTTGAAATGGATATAGTAGGATCAAAGTAATGCTCATAAATATTTCCAGAGGTATCAGAAAATACCTGAAAGTATACAAATTAACCCATATGTAAGATGGAGAAGATGCTAGTTTAACTCGAACAGAACGAAAACTTACCACAGATTATGCTAGTGCATTTCAAAACAAAATCTTACCCAAAATTACTCACATGATGATGACACTATCCAAACATATTGTTCACTTATGTATTTATAGATATACCAAACAGAATGATGTGACGAAGAGAAAAGAAAAAAAAAGTTGGTCAGTTAGAAAAGCAGCCATGTGATATAAACGAGATTTCTTTTATATATAAACATAATTAAATATACCAAAGAAATTTGAAAAACTTTTTTTTTTATATTTAGGGGAACAACAGTCAGAAAATGATAAATAATGTTCTTAAGCATCTTATCAAAATTAAGAATACGTATTTCAATCGTGCGCCCAAGTGGGATAATATATTGTATAAAAAAGTAAATGTTTTCAAACAAATTTATTTTATATTAGAGATTTGGGGTGGTCTTAAAAAGGTATCCTATACTTATCCACATTATTGCACTTTTTCAAATCGACATGGCGTTCATTAGTCACCACAACTTCTAACATAGGCTTCTTATAACCATGTATCTCTGATATGTTGAAGATTTTATGACAAGAAAAAGGTAAGATAGAGAAAACTGAAGATTCACTAAATACTTTCGTCGCTGCAAAAATATTAGAATATTAGAATACGAATTTAGATGATAGAATATAAGAACAAGATTAAAAAAAAAGGGTTTTTGCTAAAATTAACCCAAAACTTGATTTTGAATACAAAAGTAGACTCTTGAAAAAACATTTAGCAGATATAACCTACAAGGGTAGTGAAAAGACAATTTAATTCTGTATGAGTAAACAAAAAATGGATGTTCTAATTACCGTTTTCTCCCTGACGAAGTCTACTAAAGTAAAACTGAAGTCTACTAGTAGACTAAGTCTACTAAGCAATTAAATCTGTAAATTTAATTTTAAAATTTAGAAAAAATTATTTTGGTATCAGAATTACATTCATAAATTCCGTAATTGTAACACAAATGTACATAAATTATTTTTTTATATTGATAAATGGAAATTTTTGTTTTTAAATTAAGAAGAAGAAAATCTATTATTTAGGTTTTAAAATTTGTAGACTTCTATATTGAAATCTGCTAAACCGAATAAATTAACCTAACCAAAATTTAAACCAAATTAAACCAAAATTGAACAAAAAATAGCTATTTTAACCGAAATTTAAACCAAAATTGAATAAAAATAAGTTTTCTTAACCAGAAAAACTTACCGTATATAAACTAGTTCTATAGCAAATAAACCCTAATTTTATCCCAAAGAAACTTCCGAGAAAACGGCGCTCTCTCAGGCTCTCTTGCCGTTGGCATCGCTCGTCCTTGTTCTGCCTCGGCGTAAGATGCAGTTCTGCAGCCGGCCTCTTCGATTAATTTGCTATTTTTGCAGGAAGATTTCGATGTTTGCTTCAGTTAAAGGTAAGCCTCCTGGGATTTGTTTCAATTAGGGATTTTGGTTTATAATACTGTTCATCTTCTTCTTTATCTCTCTGTGTGATTTGATGAAATCTACGGTATCATGCTGTAGTAATAATACTGAATTAGTTTTGCTTTTGTTTCTGCAACAACAACAATAGGAGATCCGGTGCTCGCCACCACCAGTTTATTCTCCCCCTCCACCACCACCACCACCACCACCTCCGCCACCGCCACCAGTTTACTCTCCTCCACCTCCTCCGCCACCGCCACCAGTCTACT